GGTATTAATGCTATATAGTTTGTTTATAGTTAATAGAAATCAAAAATTGTAATGGTGAATCATAAGTTGAGTACTATGGTACATAGTGAAAACAGGAAAAATTGCCTAATTACATTTTTTTTGCTCGAGATTGGGAAGGAAATCGAGGAAATTTCATGAGGTATTTTTAGAAATCAAAAATAAGAATAAAATAAAAATAGTTGAATGAAATCAAAGTGAAGGCGTGGTTAAAAGAAAATGCCTTGGTGCGTGGTGAGAAAAAGAAAAATTGCTTGTTGAATAAAAAAAAGAAAAGAATTGCCTAATTACTAAAGCTCGAAATTGGGAAAGAAATCGAGGAAATTTCATGAGGTCCTTTTAAGAAATCAAAAATAAAATAAAAATAAAAATAGTTGAATGAAATCAAAGTTGAATGCTTGGTTAAAAAGAAAATGCCTTGGAGCGTGGTGAGAAAAAGAAAAATTGCTCATTGAATAAAAAAAAAGAAAAGAATTGCCTAATTACTAAAGCTCGAAATTGGGAAAGAAATCGAGGAAATTTCATGAGGTCCTTTTAAGAAATCAAAAATAAAAATAAAAATAAAAATAGTTGAATGAAATCAAAGTTGAATGCTTGGTTAAAAAGAAAATGCCTTGGTGCATGGTGAGAAAAAGAAAATTGCTTGTTGAATAAAAAAAAAAGAAAAGAATTGCCTAATTACTTTTTTTGCTCGATATTGGGAAAGAAATCGAGGAAATTTCATGAGGTCTTTTGAAATCAAACAATAAAAATAAAAGAAAGGTTGAGTGAAATCAAAGTGAAGGCGTGGTTGAAAAAGAAAAAATGCCTTGTTGCGTGATGGGAGAATACAAATTTGCTTTGTTGTATGAGAGAAAAAAAAAAAAGAAAAATGTTTGGTTGCAAAAAAAAAGAAAAATGAAAAAGGTTTTTCGAAAAATAAAGGATGACTTAATGTCTAAGTTTAACCGAAAACCAATGAGTGTTCGTTGATAAAAATGGAAATATGTCAAAATAAAAGATGTGGTAAATATAATGGTAAATAATTGCTAAAATAAGTGATAATAAATTGTATTAGAAAAATGATAAATTGGATTAAATATTTTGAATTTAATATAAGAAAGTAATGTAAATGATTGATATATAACAAAGATAATGTATAGCGAGGTCGTGAACCCGCTTTGTATCTACATGCCATCATCTAGTTTTCTTAATTGATTAATTATGCCCTATAGAATTTTCTTTTGTCTTTGCGTGTGTTGTGGAAAATGTTAGAAGTTTTTTGTGTAAGAAATGTGTGAAACGAATTCTATGCGTTGTCAACTAGTGTCTGTGTGTGACTTGGGTGACGTATTTTTGTAAGTCTGTAAGGAATAATAGGAATTAATTATAATAGGGATGTGAATTCATTAGGAAGTGTCGGTAACGTCTTAACTCTTGTGAGGGTGCAATTGAATTGTATTTTTCTAAAAGTCGATATGCAGGTTTAACTGGGATCCCAAACTGGGCGACATCTAGAGAAGTTTACAGCTGACCTCCATTTAACTGCTGGTCGAGAGAGATGGTAATTAGAAACCAGGAAGCGGGCGTACGTGGGGGACAAACAAGACTCCCTCTCTATTTGCACGAGATTGCTGGTCGATATTTTTATTGCCTCGCGGAAGCTACCCTCCTCACTTCTTGCCGCCTAATTAGTTTTTGTTCAACTAATGGTCCTTTACTTTTTTTACTGGCTTGGTGATTTTCCTTCGGCACCGATCTTGTTACTTTTTCAGTATACAGCTTAAGCTTGTTGACGTGGATCGTATCAGTATCTCTTTGGAGAGGTTGATTTGGTCGATCTATACGGACCACATTTGGTGAAATAATTTCTAATATTGTATGGGGTCCTGTGACATATGGGGCGAGTTTCCCTGTATTGGGGTGGTGATATAATTTAACTAACACTAGATCACCTATTTTGAAATGTGGTTGTTTGTGTCGTTGATCATAAATTTTTTTGTCTTGAAGGTATTGTTTTGTGTTCGTGTGTGTGCAATCTTCCTAGCTCTGTCGATATCTGGGTAAGGTGTGTTGTGGTCAGATTGTTCTGGGGGTAGGATGCCAAACATTAGGTAGGTGGGTGGAAAGCCTGTGGTAGAGTGTGGTGTGCTGTTATATATGACTGCAACTCTTTTGACCAACTTGGTCCATGCGATCTTAGGATTCTCTGTCGTAGTTGGTGTAATTTCGGCATGGTTTGTATTTCGAAAATCCGGATATTGTATCTATTGATATTAAATCGAATGGTTGTTGTGGACTTAGTAAAAATGTTATTCAGTGATATCAGAGTAGAATTGAGTGAAAGTGCGACTTTCGACGTGGACACGCTTTGAGGTGAGAAGTGTCACAGGTGTGATGAAGGCGTCTTTGGCCTGAAAAGTGAAAAGTTTTGTGGTGTGGCCTGTGACACGAAGCAAAACAAAAATTGTAAATGAAAAGGTGTCACGTGAAGTCTTTGTTTGTACAAAATCTAACCTGTTCTCACTATGAACAACAAATTTACTAAAGTCATGGGTGCTGGTTGTACGAACATATACCGAGAATTCTTATATTGTTAGTGAATATGGCACGTTTAATGTGAAAATTTTTAGTGTTTTGTGTAGACGAGGTGGTTGTTATTAACGGTTGTGCATGCGCTTGCTGGTTGTTGTCGTCTTTTGGCGCGAGTGTCGCGCTTGTTGTGCTGGTTGTGTGTGTTACCGTTGTGTGATGACATATGGATGCGTGTGCTGTTAGCGTGAAAACCGTCCTGTTGGATGGATGTTGTCTGTGTTTTGTTGTTGTGAATGTCGTGTTTGTTGTGAGGTACATTTGCGTGATTGTTGCGTGACGACGTATGGTCACGTATGGACTTTGCGTGGTAGTTGTGTGAGCTGGGCTGTTGTACGGACACGTTTTGGGCATTGTCGTTGTAAATTGAAGCCGTTGTGGCTTTGTGAGTTGAGGACATTTAGTAATGGCAATTGGTTTTAGGAAAGAAGTTGTGTGGTGCGGGGTTAGATTGGTGGCATGTGGAGAATTGGGGTTTGATCAATGAATGCATGCAAGGGTTGCCATGTGTGAAATATTTGGTTGTAAGTGCAAGTCCTTTGGGACATGTTTTGGCGTAGCCCGTACGTGCATTCATTGGATACATGGTTAAAGGGGTAGGTCCTGGGTCAGATACAAGTCCAAAGTCAATTTCTTGACGTCATAGGGTGGAGAGCCTACCTCAGTCTCGAAAGGTCTCCACTGGGGCGTCTTTGGCTTGGGTTGGCTGCTTGGGACGTCTGGTGGGCTGGTTCGGGACCGATTGCACTGTCCGCGAAATCGAAGGGTGAAATCTGGCCGTTTGCACTGCCCTTACGCGAATGGATTGATTTCGGACTATTTGCACTGTCCTTTTGTTTGTATGTCGAGTTTGTTGGGGTGGTACCGTCCATTTACTTGCGTTTTTCCGGATACTGGTGTATGGATACGGCATGGCGGCTGATGACTCTTCGGTGGGCGTCAGGTCGCGGTGACACTCGCCGGCGGTAAGTCCGTCCATCTTGCCTGGGGCGGCGGCGTGGGCGTCATCTCTCCCGGGGGTGGCGCTCTGGTACGCCGTCTCTCTTTGCGTGGCGTTGACTCCTCGAAGTGCAGCGGCCAAAAGAAAAATTATCGCCGTCAGGGTGCGTCTTGTCGCTTCGCTCGTCGCCAGCTTCTTGTCCTTTCCGTTCGTCGCCTTGTCGTTGTCACTTTTGACGTTGGTCGTATCTTGGCTACTTTCCATCATAATCCTGTCGACTCAAATCTATCGCAATATCGTTGCGAAGTTTTTTGTTATTGGTTGAGAATGGGGTTGATTGGTGACGGCGCAGTCGTTTCAGAGGGAAGTGTAGCATACAGGGGAAATAAACCAGGATACTTGATGGGGTTGAAATAAGGCAACTGATCGGAGGAAAGAAAGGCTTTGAGAAGGTGGCACGGTTTGGCTATTGGCTATCTATTCACATTGCGGTAAGATTGACTTATCTGGTGGGGGTTGGCGGTGAGAATGACTCCAGAGGGCTAAGTGCTAACTCGGTGGGATCGAGCTCCTAACTACTCTAGATGCTATCTCGGTGGGATCCAGCTCCTAATTACTCTAGATGCTATCTCGGTGGGATCCAGCTCCTAACTGACAATTCTATATTCTCGATTTAAAACGAAAACTCTTCTTCCTTCTCATTGGCTGACCTGTGTGACGTGGAAGTTCCCTATAGGCTCCAAGCTAAAAGGGGTGCTCTCTGATTGGCTCGTTCTAACTCTTTGTACTTGGACGTGTTCTGACCTGTCCCGGAAATACTGTGTCGTTGAACTCGAACTTTTACGAGTTCCGGGATAATAAAAACTGGTAATGATCATCTTTCTCTAGGCCTTCTTTCCTCCAGATATTGCTAAGCCTTGTGCTTCATTGAAATTCAAACATACATTTTCATACATATTGGATTGGGTTGGCATCTACCTATGTACAAATTATGACATATATTAGTTAATAATTATAGCCTATGTGCTTTATCTGTCTATGTACTGTTGGCTTCCGTAGGCGTCTCATACTAGGAAAAGGAAAGAGAGGATTACATTTAGTTATTAACTAATATATGCATTTATTTAAAGAGCGACCCGCTCCAAAAAAATAGTTACAAAAACGAAAGAGCGAGTGGGGGAGGCATGATGGGGGGGGGGGGGCAAATGTGACGTGATCGTAGCCAACCAATAGGAGGGCGCCATTCCAAAAAAAAAGCAAACGGTGACAGAGACGACTGATGAGGAATGACGCTCGTGACTGTATATGCGGCTTATGATTGTAGAACGAAGTTTGACAACTATACCGCAAATGTTTCTTTTGAACGAAAAATCAAAATATATTTTAAGGAGAAACAACAATTATTTTTAACCTTAGGAATGAAGTATGAGAGGATGAATTGTGAATAGTAATGATAAACGGAAAAATAAAGTGTCCAGGGATGGGAATCGAACCCATAGTGTTCCGCTTACCGGGCAGATGCCATGTCTACAAGGCTACCCTGTACACTTTAGGCTTCCCATCCCTAGACACTTTATTTTTCCGTGTATAATTACTCTTCACAATTCCTGCTCTCATACTTCATCCCTATGGTTAGAAACATTTGCGGTATAATTATCAAACTTCGTTCTAGCTCAACTTATAATGAGATACTAATTTGTTCTGTCCAGTCGTGCTGAGCGCTAACGTTAGCAACTACACCATTTCATCTTCTTGCCAGCTACAGTCCTATCCTTCCACTCTCATCACCACAATTCCTCCTCAAGAGAAAGGCAAGTTTCCCCGATCGTCACATTACCCCTTGAACCTAATCACAAGAATTTAAACAATATTTATAACAAGCTAACTATCGTTGTTGTTATAGATCTAAATATTTGAGTTGTGATTGCAGCGGCCTTTGTATTCTCAGCTGTTACTCTCAACCAGACTCTGGGTCTTAATTCGAATGTTGAATTCAAGAAAAAATACTCCGATACCCCGAATCCTTTAATAACCAAGGATACACAGATTATAAATCCCGAAGTTAACTGCAGTATGCTTAACTGCAGAATAGAACTAGGAGCTATTACTCCCCAAGAACAGGGGATGTACATCCTCAAGAGTCGTTCCCCTTCCGAAACCGCCACCTTCCAGCTTATCACTCGAGGTGAGTAGTTCTTTCAATTTTATTATCCTCCATATGTTTTACGAACAATAAAATGTTAACCTATAGAGAATAATATGGGGAATCGTTTTTTTTTCCGTCGAATTTGATTCAAGAAGTAACCTTAAAACCATTTAAAATTTCCATCTATATTTCAGTCATATAATTGGTTTTGATACTTTACTAGCTGACCACCCCTTTGCTTTTTTTCTTGATATTTTATTAATATATATATATTTTAAAAAGATGCATATATTGAATTTATAATTATTTTATTGTTCCAATATTTCGAGGGGCAACTCGCCTCTCTTTATCGAGGATGTTTGTGTTTTTTAGTAAAACACGCATACATCACTCTCGTTCTACAAGGCCAATGAAAGAATTGTATCTTTGATTTAAATATTACATTCAGTTTATATATATATACAGCTAATAATTATATTTACTATTATAGATTAATATTTTATCTATAATAATTCAATATATGTCTCTTTTTTTAAATATAATTTTAATTATGGATTGCTCAATATTCAATATATATATATATATATATATGAAAAATAAAAAATAAAAGTTAGTGGGTCAGGTGTTGATATTAAAAATAAAGAAGGCATCTCCTGACCACGAGCACATGTGCTTTTTAGATGGCAGAGCGCCATCTAGTGGAGCAAAAATAAACTAAACGTTTATTTAGCTTGCTCCGTGATATTTGGTCAACCCAATTTCTTGATAAATCAAGAAATGCCATCCACGAACGCGTTTCGCGCTATTGAAACTCGTCAGCGTGGAGTAGGCTGTGACCAATGCGACCAAAAGGAATTTTGGTCCCAGAGGCTTCTTGAGAAATCAAGATATGGGTATTTAAGGCCAAATTCGCGTAAAGACGCTTAATATATGAAAAACAATAGAAAAAAATAAAAGATAAGTGGGTCAGGTGTTGATATCTATATATACACTGGTGTCCAAAAAATAAGAAACTTTTGTTTTTTAATGATATGCTTTAAAATATACAACGCTAAAAGCTAAAAAGTAATTTAATTAGGTATTTTAAGTCGTAGCATTTATTTATCGCAAACATTCGATTCGGTGAATTTTGAAAATATGCAAATTTTTGCTTGTCTTTATAAGTGTGCTATTTGGCGTGTCGTTTACCCCATCTAAGAATTGTCCAATTATAATTTTATTTAATCCTTAGTTAATTATGAGTTTACGAAAAATTTAGCAGATGATTTAAAATGGAGAGCTGTTGGAAGAATGGAGACAGGGCAATCACAAGTTGAAGCAGCAAAATGGCTAAATGTGAATAAATCTGTGGTCAGCAAAATATGGAAACAGTTCATTGAGACAGGAACCATCAAAAGAAAAGAAGGTTCTGGTAGAAAAAGAAAAACAGCTGCCTCTGAAGAACGTTATCTGGTCGTAAATGCCAAGCGCCATAGGGAGATGACAGCTATTCAACTCTCTAATGAACTCTCAAGTGCTACTGCAACGAGAATTTCAATTTTATGTAAGACGACCAATGGTCTGTATCCCTTTAACCTCTGCTCACAGGAGAGCCCGCTTGAATTGGTGCTTGGAACTTCACGCCTGGACTCATGATCAGTGGGCCAATGTTCTCTTCAGTGACGAGTCAAGATTTAGTTTAAACACAGATTCTCGACGAGTTTTCATCTGGAGGGAACCTGGAACCCGCTATCACCTTAGTAACATCAGGGAAATAGACAGTTTTAGAGGGGGCAGTCTCTTAGTCTGGGCTGGCATCAGTTCTAGCAGTCGCACACCCCTCCACATTTTTTTCTGGGGCACTTTAACTGCGCAAAGGTACAGGGACGAGATCCTTGAGCTCTATCTAAGACCTTATAGAGATCAAATTGGTCACAAATCAATTTTAATGGACGATAATGCTCGTCCGCATAGGGCTAGGCTAGTCAATGAATATCTCCAGAGTGAGAATATTCGAAGGATGGATTGGCCAGCCAGATCTTCGGACCTGAATCCAATAGAGCATGTGTGGGATGCTCTAGGGAGGCGTATTAGAGCTCGTCACCCCTCTCCCAGAACCCTCGTTGAGCTAAGAACTGCTCTATTGGAGGAGTGGGGTTTACTACCCCTGGACCTCCTCCAAAGCCTGGTAAACAGAATGAGGGCTCGCTGTGAGACCTTGATAGCTGTTAGAGGTGATCATACTCCCTATTGATATCTTATTTCTTTAAGATCTGGAACCTTAGCTTTGGGTATGTTGGTAATAATTTGCATATTTCATAATTTCAAATATATTTTTTTTATTTTCATATAGCTAATCAAATTCTCCATAGTTTAAACTATTTGTATACTAAATTTTATATTTGTTAATAAATTAGCTTTTGAGAAATTTCGATATTGGTTAAGTTTCTTATTTTTTTTTTTGGACACCAGTGTATAAAAATCAATGTTTGTATGTTTGTTTGTTTGTTTGTATGTCCGGTATACAAATTCGCAGTAGTTCACTAATTCAAACCAAAATTTCCATACATAGGTAAAAGAAATACGGGGAAGACAATAGGCTATTTTAAAAAATATATAAATCAATTATTAAAACTATATATTCAAATTATTCTATTTAGCTCACAAACAGCGCCCTCTATCAAAGATTAGATTAAATTATGCTGATGCCAACAAATAGATAATGCTAATAACAAGCAATTATAAAAAAAAAATCTGATCTAAATATATATCACTCGGGTAGATATGCACACGGGTCAATCCCGGGGCGAAGCCCGGGTCACCTGTCTAGTTAAAAATAAAGAAGGCATCTCCTGACCACGAGCACATTTATTTGTATTTAAACTAAAAATGGGGACGTCTAAATAAAAATCCAAAGAGAGGTCAGCTGGTGGCAGCAGGGACAGAGGGGTGGAAAAAGGCAACGCCCAGCCCATGTGGGGTCCCGAGGGACATTCTTATAGAGACCCCCCAAAACAGGACAAGTTTTGGCAGGGGGTCGGCAGATGTTCTAGGGGGTGTTTCTCGTCAGTCGGCTTCAGGCTGTCTCTCTCAGGGAGTCCGTCTCTCCCTCGATGTCTCGGGGATAAGCATCGAAGTTGGTGTCATGGCCTCTACCTCTGTCCCGTGGGCTGTCCCCGATTCCTCTTTGTGCTAACATCTAGCCCTGCCTCTGCTTCTTGTTGTCCGCGTGTGGGAAGAACACCAACACTCGCCTCACGTTCACGACTGCCAGTTCATCCATACGTCGGCACATTGCAACAATATTACATATATATATATATATATATATATATATATATATATAAGTGTATCTCATAACACCAAAACCTGCCCTGGATTAACGTGGGGTGGAGGCTGACAGGCTTTTTGAATTTGCCAAAGCTGTTGTTGAAATTTCAAGATTTCAGAGATGTTCAATAAATGAGTTAGGTAGTATTTTTATTAATAATTCTGGTAGTGTTATGTAGACAACGTCAAATAACATTGTCGCGTAAAGCGTGTCTACGCCCAGGCTCTGCTTTGCCTAGACGCTCTGTTAAACATGTTCAGGTCCTGGAAGAAGTTCGCCGATTTTTTCTATGGGGTAAAAGTCCTTCTACTCCTGAATGGTAGACTAACCGAAACCAGATGCTCAATCTAACACCAAAGTCGACTCAACAATAACTAGCTCACAAACACACTTTATTCGAATCAAGTACACTATTTAAAGTAAGACACATATTTACATATGTGAAAAAACGATGAAAATATAAATTATTTTAATAATAAATACATAATAAAATAAGTTTTTATTATCAAAACCTGACCTATTTTCTATTTTTATTGTTTTTTTCACATGAAAAGCGTAGTTACGCAAACTTGGCCTTAAATACCCATTTCTTGAATTCTCAGGAAGCCTCTGGGACCAAATTTGGGTCGTATAGTTACAGCCTGCATCACGGTGACGAGGTTCAACAGCCCGAAACGCGTTCGTGGTTGACTTTTCTTGATTTATCAAGAAATTGGGTTGACCAAATATCACGGAGCAAGTTAAATAAACGTTTAGTTTATTTTTGCTCCACTAGATGGCGCTCTATCATCTAGAAAAGCTTATATGAGCCTGGTCAGGAAATGCCTCTTTGTTTTTAATATTTACATATATATTGATTAAACATTTAAATAAATTTACATCATTTATTTATTATTATCAAATCAGACGCGATATCCCCACAAGGGATGCTTGCGTCAAGAAACAACACTTAGATACTATATTACACAAACAAATTATTTTTATTTTTACATCATTGTTTTCTATACCATAAAACAATAAATTTACATAATTGTTTACCGAAAACTTGGAGACCTTTTGTTTGAATCTACTTGGTAGAAATATATAATAA